AAAAAAAAAAAAAAAAAAAAAAAGTTAAGTAGAATTTGATAGAAATCAATGGAAGGCAAAAGCCCTGAACTTGGGCCACTTCCACCATCCATTTATATGGGAAAAGAAAGTAGAAATATCTAAGCCTCATAAAACCTTGCATGTTTGTGCTCAGTCATCATGATGGATATATTATTTAGGGTAATAAATCTCTCCCTGCAGATGTCACTAATGATGACCATCATCAACTTGGCTCAGAATTTTGTGGGTAGCAATAATCTGAACCTCTTGCAGCCCATTGGTCAGTTTGGTACCAGGCTGCATGGTGGCAAGGATTCTGCTAGTCCTCGATACATCTTCACCATGCTCAGGTGAGTACGCTTTCCACTTCAGGTGACTTGCTATTTCCAGTGTTTTTTTGTTTGTTTTTTTCTTTTTGGTTTTTTGAGACAGGGTCTCACTGCACAGTTCAGGCTGGGCTTGAACTCACTATGTAGCCCAGGCAGGCCTCAGTCTCGTGGCAGTCCTCCCGCCTCAGCCTCCCAAGTGCTGGGATTACGGGCATGTGCCACCACACCCAGCCTATTTCCAATGTTGAAACCATGTGGGACCAAAGTTTTTAAAAATTAAGTGTAGGGGCCAAGGATTTAGCTCAGCGGTTCAGTGGCCTGCCGAGTTCAATCCCCAGTACTAAAAACAAAAAAAAAATTAAGTGTATTCGCCGGGCATGGTGGTGCACGCCTATAATCTCAGCACTCGGGAGGCTAAGGCAGGAGGATCCCTGCGAGTTCGAAACCAGCCTGGGCTACATAGTGAGTTCCAGGTCAGTCTCAACTACATAGTGAGACCCTGTCTCAAAAAACAACAAAAACAAAACAAAACTTAAGTGTATTAGAGAATATTGGTATCTAGTGAGTAGAGGCCAAGGGTGCTGCTGTAAACACCCTACAGGATACAGGTCTGCTTCTCACAACAAAGAATCACCACTTGGCATGGTGGCGCACGCCTGTAGTCCCAGCAGTCTGAAGTTCAAGCCCTACCTGGGCTACTTAGCCACATAGCAAGACCCGATCTCAAAATTCAGAATTTTAAAAGGGCTGGAGATGTGGCTCAGTGCCAAGGCCCTTGGTTCAGCCTGCGTCACTGCCACCGAAACAGTTCCATTCCTGACTTCTCTTCGGAACTCTGACTGGCCCTTTCAGCATTTCCCACTGGCTCTCTAAAGAGTGCTCAAACACAAGTTCAAAACCAAATCCTTCCTGCCCTTGCAGTGGGATTCTGTCACTGTTCACTCAGACTAAAACCTTCAGAGTCACTCGTGGCTCCTTTTCTTAACACTTCCACCCATTCACTAGCAAGTTCCGTGGGCTCTATGTTGGGAAAAGCTAAGCTGCCCCATCTCATGTAAAGGACTATCATGTAATCTACTGTCCTCTCTCATAGCAGCCTCTTAACTTTCCAAAAGTCGGTCGCTGGCTCAGAACCTTCCACCTCCTCGCTCAGAGTGCACTTAGCTCAGCATGCCTCGTGTGAGCTGTGCCTACTCTGCGTGTCTCTGGGCTCCCTTTCGTGCCGTCTCTGCTCCGGCTCTGCCGCCTCGGCCTTCTCTCAGACATCCAGGCGCATTCCTCTCCGGGCTGCTGCAACACTTTATTCAGATACCCACATGGCTCTGTCCGCCAGGTTCCCCCAGTATAATCCTCTCAGAAAGGCTTTGATTTTCCTTGGCACGTGTCTTTTCTTAAGAGACGGCCTCGCCGTGTGGCCCGGGCTGGTCTCAAGATTCCTGGGCTCGAGCAGTCCTCCTCCTGCCTCTCGAACAGCCGGGGCCACAGACACACGCTGCTCACACCTACGTTAGTTTTCTTTTAAGGCTAAGTATTTACCCCACCACTTAACAAATTGCACGTTCAATAATTTTGTAAAATAATACCCTTTGATTGTTTCCTTTAGCCCTTTGGCTCGGTTGTTATTCCCACCAAAAGACGATCACACGTTGAAGTTCTTATACGATGACAACCAGCGCGTGGAGCCCGAATGGTACATCCCTGTCATCCCCATGGTGCTGGTGAATGGCGCCGAAGGGATTGGCACTGGCTGGTCCTGCAAAATCCCCAACTTTGACGTTCGCGAAGTTGTAGATAACATCAGGCGCTTAATGGATGGAGAAGAACCTTTGCCAATGGTAACTCTTATGTGTGTGAGGAACCTGCTTCTTTCTCTGGATTCAGTTGACTGGACTATCTGACTAAGAGAGTGCAAATTTATTTCACCCTCTATTGTTACATGTATGGTTGAACACTGTCTTACTTCCCTGTGATGAGACAAAATACCTGACACCCCATAAGTTACAACAGCAAAAGCTTGCTTTGACTCAGTTTGTAGGGGTTTCCATCCATAGCTGCTCCAAGGCAGTGCGGTGTGGCCGAGGGGCTTGGTAAAGGAGGAGCAGTCAGGCGGCGCGCAGAACCTCAGTCCATCCAGGGTACAAGCCTCTTGGTTGGTGCCACCCACACCCAGGAGGGGTCTCCTCTTCAACAGCCCCATACCCACAGCTATGCTAAACCACACACCAGTGATCCAGATACCTCCAAAAGCCCCACGTATGAGTGTAAGCTGTGCAAACACCTTGTGATTTCTGTTACTAGCATTATATTTACAAAACATTCTGTTTTGAAATACCAATTTAGCTCCCAAGTTACAAGAACTTCAAAGGTACAATTGAAGAGCTGGCTCCAAATCAGTATGTGATTAATGGTGAAGTAGCTATTCTGAATTCTACAACCATTGAAATCTCAGAGCTTCCCATCAGAACATGGACCCAGGTAAGTAACTGTGGTTTTCTTGATTTTGTGGTTGGAAGACTTTTTGCACCATCGCTATTGACCATTGAGGCGACTCCTTTGTTTCTTTAGATGTATAAGGAGCAGGTTCTAGAACCCATGTTGAATGGCACTGAGAAGACACCACCTCTCATAACAGACTATAGAGAATACCACACAGATACCACCGTCAAGTTTGTTGTGAAGATGACTGAAGAAAAACTGGCAGAGGCAGAGAGAGCCGGACTACACAAAGTCTTCAAACTCCAAACCAGTCTCACCTGCAACTCTATGGTATGTCTTACTGTGTGGAAGATGTGCGCTTCAGCTTATATTAAAGATTGGTATCAATTTTAATAAGAGATATCCTTTACTGTTTTTATAAATTTTACTGAACTCACTGGCTCATAGCTCTAACCTTCTGCTTTTCCAGGTGCTCTTTGACCACGTAGGCTGTTTAAAGAAATACGACACAGCGTTGGACATCCTAAGAGACTTCTTTGAACTCAGGCTTAAATATTACGGATTAAGAAAAGAATGGCTCCTAGGAATGCTTGGTGCTGAATCTGCCAAACTGAACAATCAAGCTCGCTTTATTTTGGAGAAAATAGATGGCAAAATAATCATTGGTAATGTTTTTATAATAATTCTACTAAAAATGTAGTTATGCTAACCTTTCATTAAACGTTTTTGTTAAGAGTGATGGTGGGAGGGAGGGCAAAATCCATGTAGCTCATCTGGTTGCTGATACAAGAATTTATTTACTTTGAAAGTGAGCTTTTCCTAGATTGAGTAGTTTTTTTCTTCTTGTGCTGGACACCAGACCCAAAGCCTTGTGCGTGCTAAGCACGCAGTCTACCACTGAGTTACTTCCTCATCTCTAGACCGAGCATCAAGTCTTACTTGCCATTTAGACAGGAAGAAAATAGAGCCTGCCGGGAGTGGTAGCACACGCCTGTAATCCCAGAACGGGAGGCTGAAGCAGGAGGATCACTGTGAGTTCGAGACCAGCCTGGGCTACATAGTGGGACCCTATCTCAAAAAAAAAAAGAAAGAAAGAAAGAAAATAGAGATCTAGAAGGCTACTTAAGCTGGTTTATCACAAGACCCCAGCTGACGAAGAAGAGGCAGGAAGGAAGTGATTTAATAAGTAAACTTGGTGTCCAAGACTGAAAAAAAGATTCTTTTTCTTTTTCTTTTTTTTTTTAAGAAATCTATAAGAAGTAAGTGAGGGGTTTAGTGACCAGGAAGAAGAGTTTTAACAGACGCTGGCATATCAGGAAGGTTAAAAGAAAGCTCAGAGGCAGTGCGGTGGCTCATGCCTGTAATCCCAGCACCGCAGGAGTTGGAGGCCAGCCTGGGCGCCGTAGCAAGCCCTTGTCAGGAAAAATGAAGAGAAGGCACAGAGTGGGCTCTGGCCAGAGCTAACTAGAAAAGGCAGCTAATTGACTATAGTAGCAAAACCCAAAACACGGTACCACAGATAGCTTCTAGTGAGCAAAGGCTTACTTTCTGATGGCACGCAAGTGTTTAGCTCGATGACTGCGTGTCTGTCTGGTTACGTAGTAAAGAACTAGCACTAGCACATCAGCCTTCTTACTGCACAGATACTGCTTCAGGCGGAAGAAATGAGTGGTGCTGCTGGACATGACCTGAGGCAAAAGGAAGTTCTTCCTGGTGGATTAGGAAGTTCTAGGGACTGCAGTCTTCATGAAGAGCAAATATCAGGGTTTCAAGTTCATTGAAAAAAGGTGGCGTATTAGTCACTTGCCCCTCCCCGTGACAAAAATCCCTGACACCAAAAGCTAAAGGAGGAGAAGGTCATTTGGTTGTCAGTTTCAGAGGGTTCTGTCCGTGCTCAGCTGGCTAGAAGGCAGAAGAGGCACAGGAGGCTGCTCACCCGGGAGACAGGTGGAGCAGCAATGGAAAGGACGGACGCACCCTTGAGCATGTCCAGTGACAGCGGCCCCAGCGAGGCCCTGTCTCCACTCCCCAGCTCCTCAGTGAATTAGTCCAGCTAATCAGCATGGCACCACCATGATCCTCTCCCAATAGCCCCACCTGTGAGCACGTGAGAATTTTGGGAGACATTTTATTTATTTGTTTTTTGAGACAGGGTCTCCCTACGTAGTTGAGACTGACCTGGAACTCCCTGTGTAGCCCAGGCTGGTCTCGAACTCACAGCGATCCTCCCGCCTCAGCCTCCTGAGTGCTGGGATTATAGGTGTGCACTACCATGCCCAGCTTGGGAGACATTTTAGATATCAGCCCTAACAGGTTGTGCTCCAAAGGTCCAAAGAGCAAGTGACTCTCCCTGTCCCTCGAAGTGTAAGAGGTCACTGTCCTGACCACTGAAAGCTAATGAGAAAGAGAATGAATGTGTCCTGGAGGGCGGGCATCAATGTTCAGGTGGGTGGAGCAAAACGCCCAATCAAGTGTTAAAATAAAAGAAGCTGGAGCCGGGCATGATGCCCCACACCGTAATCTCAGCACTTGGGAGAGTGAGGCAGGAGCGTCTCTGTGAGTTCAAGTTCAAGGCCACCCCTCAGCTACATAGCAAGACGTTGTCTCTAAATGAAATTAAGGGCCGGGTATTGATTTAGCTCAGTGGTGCTGCTCGCCTCACAAGTGCAAGGTCCTGAGTTCGATCTCTGGTACGGGAAAAAAAAAAGAGGAAACATAAGGGACGGAGGGGCAGATGAAAAATAAAGGTTTGGGACCCAGGATTTAGCTCAGTGGTGCCACCGCCTGCTTTCCAAGCACAAGGTGCAGAGTTCCATCCCTGGTACCAAAAACAAAAAGAAAAATAAAGGTTTTGATTCCCTTCATTCTTTTTAGATGACAAGCCTCATTTATAATTGACTTCCCCATCGTAATTTACTTCTGTTACTGATGTAGGGAAAGGAAAATACTCCTCTAAACCAGGGTGAACAAATGAATGCGAAACAATTTCTTTACTTAATGTGGTAAAACCTTACCCGTTTCCTGAAATCTTACTCAAAACCATTATCTGTTTATGTTTTTTAATAGAAAATAAGCCCAAGAAGGAATTAATTAAAGTTCTGATTCAGAGGGGATATGATTCAGATCCTGTGAAGGCCTGGAAAGAAGCCCAACTAAAGGTAGCGTCTGGGCCGGCACCGCGGATGTGTTGTGGCTCACGTCGCCTGTTAATCCTGCGTGTTCGTTTGCACTTCAGGTTCCGGATGAAGAAGAAAATGAAGAAAGTGACAGCGAAAAGGAGACCGCCAGGGGTGACTCCGCCGCAGGTGCCGGGCCGACCTTCAACTACCTCCTGGACATGCCGCTGTGGTACCTGACCAAGGAGAAGAAGGACGAGCTGTGCAAGCAGAGAAGCGAAAAGGTGGGGTGCGGGCCCGGGCTGGTGCAGAGGCGTAATGTAATCCTGCTCCGGCAGAGAGGGGAACGAGGCGGAACTGCGTGGGAGAAATGCTGCTTGTGTACGGATTAACTCAGCTTTCTGGTCGTCTTCTAAAGGAGCAAGAGCTGGACGCACTGAAGAAAAAGAGTCCGTCGGATTTGTGGAGAGAAGACTTGGCTGCTTTTGTGGAGGAGCTAGAGGTACGCGCTCTGAAATGCTCGCATGAAAGCCTGGTTGGTGACGTAAATATCCCAGCAATACGCCTCTGGCAAAAGACTTGCAAATTGACAATAGAATATAGAAAGCCTAGGGGTACGTCCCAAGTAACACTTAAGAAATTATAAATACTAGTTAGAATAAACGGAATGATCCCTAATCTTTATATTTTATTTCTTTGTTTGTTTTTTTGGTTTTTTGAGACAGGGTCTCACTGTGTAGTTGAGACTGACCTGGAACTCACTATGTAGCCCGGGTTGGTCTCGAACTCACAGCGATCCTCCTGCCTCAGCCTCCTGAGTGCTGGGATTACAGGCATGCGCCACCACGCCCGGCTATATTTTATTTTAAAACAAGGTCTAAATTGCTCGGGCTGACTTTAAACATTCAGTCCTCGTGCCTCAGCTTCCCAGAAGGTGGGAATATAGGCCTGTGCCACCGCATTCAGCTTCTACCTAGAGGTTTTTGGGAAAGAGAAAGACAGGAATTGATTTTTTTTTTTTTTTTTAACCGAGTAGAAAGGACCCTTAAGGACTGAGAAGATAACGGAGTTTAAGAGTGGGAGAAAACCAACCCAGCCCCTAAGTCTGCCTAGGAAGGCAATACAGTTTCCTTGGGCGGGGGAGCCAGTCGCAGAAGCTTCAGAAGATCCTTTGTTACTTAAAGCTCCTGAAAACATTTGCTTTTCAACATTTTTTTCTAACATAAGAAAAAAATCTGATTCCACAAGTCAAATTTACCATGCATATCGATATTAGCATTCAGTGTGATATCCAACCCTTGGATCATTTGGTACATATCCATGTACTTGTACATGTTTTACCCTTGGACCACAGTTTGCCCTTTTTATCTACAGAAAGGGTAAGTGAGAGAATTCCACAAAGAACGATCTTCTGTCTACACCCAGCTTCTGAAAGTGCACCTCAAATTACATCACTGTGGATCCTATGCTTGGCTGGGGAACAGCTTCGTATTTATCTTAGGATGTCGTAACACACTGAAGTCAGTTTAGTTCTTGTATTTGAGATGTTACAGGTTTTCCTTAGCTTCTAAACTTCCTTATAACCCTTCTGTAGGCCGTTGAAGCCAAAGAAAAACAAGATGAACAAGTTGGACTTGCTGGGAAAGGAGGGAAAGCAAGAGGGAAAAAAGCACAGATGGCTGACGTTCTCCCTTCTCAACAAGGGACAAGAGTCATTCCTCGAGTTACCACAGAGATGAAAGCAGAGGCAGAGAAGAAGATTAAGAAGAAAATTAAGGTGAATACTCTGGAAAAGACTACACATACACACTAAGCATGTTTCCACATAGAATTGAATGCGTTGTGTGAAATTTCTAACCCCATGTTCTGGGATTTATCCTGTATCTAACTAACTTTCTTAAGCACCTGATTTTTAAACGTTTGACTGTCTTGAAAAAAGTTATACACGTACCTCTATTCAGAGCTCTTAGGAAACATTCCTTGACCATATACATATTTGTATATTTAACTGTCACTCCAAATAATGTGGCAGAAAGTGACCTCTTCGCCTTGCTGTCTTTCCATTTGTTTGGTTTTCACATCTTGTTGTCTTCCAGAGTGAAAATACTGAAGGAACCCCTGCGGAGGACAGTGTGGAACCGGAAAGCCTGAAACAGAGACTAGAGAAGAAACAGAGAAGAGAGCCAGGTACTGCATTGCATTTTAAGGACAGTGGCAGAGGCAAAGATGACACTGTGTTTGTCAGCGCATTTTGTTGAGCTGGTGTAAGTGAGGGAGGAGGACACTTAATCATCCCTGCGTCCTTCATTTTAGAAGAGATCATGTTGTAATGAGACAGTTCAATGATTTGACAACTTGAATTCTTTAGTTAGAATCTATGAAAATACTCATTGGTTATTAGATCTCACTTTGTAGCTAACTGTGAGGTCCCAGTATCGAGTTTCTAGAGTTGAATCAGCATCACGCCTGGGATATAGGAAATACTCATTAAACCAATCAAAATCAATAGTTCTGTTACCTACAGATATGTGTGTAGCCAGGCGTGGTGACGCACGCCTGTAATCCCAGCCCTGGGGAGGCTGAGACAGGAGGATTGCTTCGAGTGTAAGGCCAGCCTGGGCTACATAGTGAGTTCAGAACTGGCCTGAGCTACATAGTTGAGACCCTGTCTCCAGAAACAAACAACAACAACAAAAAAAATCAGATTATAGGGCTGGGGATTTAGCTTAGTGGTTCCACTGCCTGCCTTGCAAGCACAGGGACCTGAGTTTGATCCCCGGTACCAAAAAAAAAAAAAATCAGATTATGTGTTTATTGTGTTTACCTTTATTGAGATAGTCACATACCAAATTGACCTACTTGAAGATTAACTTTTTTTTTTTTTTTTTTTTT